TACCGTTCGTGCCCCACAAAACCTATCATAGGTCCAGTCTGCGCTCTCCCTCTCTCGCGATAATCTGAGGTGTTTCTAATCCCATGCCAGTTACATAACCTCCCGTTTCAGAAACGTCGGCCGCATATTTTACTCTTGAGTCTAATGCAGCGCTTATGTTTGTCTAGAGGTCCGAAGGAAACATAGTAAGGCAAGGCAATAGAGTAGATGGACTAACTCATGAAATATCAGCCGAAATTTCGAAATGAGTTTTCGTTTCGAAAAGATTAATTAGGTAGTGTTGTAAAACGAATCATCCTGCAGCATTATGCTACAATATTCTAGTTACCTCAGGGTGCCGGCTTTCGGACGAACTTTCTGACTGGATGCAAGAACAATACTCCGCAAAACGACTTCTTAAGTATCATGAATTTTTCCGGTGGATTTTCGATACCCTTAAAAATTCAATTATATTTAATGAAAACATGCATAAAACTATTCATTCTTTTACTTATTCCGTAGAAAATTACGTTTTCTTCCAATTTTAGACTCGAAGGAAGGGTATAATTTGGTTTTCAAATAATTTTATGATTCCCCAATATTATTGAACTCGACCTGCTGTTATACTTGCATTCAGGGTTTCCAAACTACAAGCCGTATACTTTCCGCGTGCGGAAAAACACACATTTCTCTATGGAATTAAGAGGAGACCATATGGGGTTTATAAAATTTCGCGGGAAATTTGAGCCATGTTGTTAACTTTACAAGCCACATTGGTACATGCAAACATGACGTCTTGTGAACGGCTATTGCACGGTATTAAAAAAACCTCACAACATGAAATTTTTTTAAAACGAATTATACCCCTCTTTCGAATATAAACTTGGAAGTAAACGAAATTTGGCCATCTGTAGTGCGATTCCATATTGCCGTACCGACTGAAAACATTCGAGACAAGAGGACAGATTTTTCTAAAAGCTGTTTCTGTGTTAAGAACTGGCAGGTATATAGCGTCAGGGCTCGATTGCATAGTTTTCAGATCAAAGATTCTCCTTCTTCATTTTTTCATCACTTGCGTGGAACTCTCTGTCGTAAAATTCGACAGTCAACCAGCACATGTGGATGATTTTAGTCAAAAGGCAGAATTAGTGCTACATCCCTTCGGAATGCCCCGTTTATGGACTTTACTGACTCCTTCATTTATGACTACTCACAGAGCGAGCAAAAGGTAACCGAGGCTTCCGTTAGGGCTTACGTAATATCTATGTGCAACTGCATAGTTAGAAAGCAAGGAATAAAAGTAAACTCAACCCTGGCTGCACTCCGTTTATACAGACCAGGCATTCTCTGTGTGCTTGGGCGCACAGTTATCTGAGACGTATACTTTTACGAAATTGCCCCCAGTGAGGTATCAGTTGCACATGATTTTACTAAATCAGCCAAAGCTGACAAGGACTACCGACAAAAGATGAATTTGCTTCCCTTTCTCATGGTCGTTTATATCAGTAAGGCAACGCATTCTAAAAGCACCTGTGGAGCGATAAGTCTGCTAGAGTAGGCTCGGTGATATAGCAGGTGTCCACAACAGCGTCTCCATGTTGATTGCCAGCTTTGTTGATGCATATGTATATATGCATATGTATATGGCCCGGTGGTTAGAGGCGTGGACTTCTAAACCAACAGGTCGCGAGTTCGAGGCTCGGGTGTCCCACACTTCGGGCTTGGGTATGGCTGGCTGACGACGGCTAATAAGCCAGAAATGGCCATTCCAGTCTCCCTTGTCTTTGTCGGTAATATCATTCTGCCTATATATCATGCGCCGCTGTGCGGCTGCTGGTTGGGCTCGAGGGAGAGCCCTTAAGGCACAACGGAACGAGTGAGTTTCGTATAAACGATCGGTGAGCGCCCCCTACCAATGTAAAAGTATTTGTCAAAGTCACTAGCCGCTAGACCAGTATCGCTCATATCGCTGAGTAACCCCCAGACACCTTTGTCACGGAAATAATAGTTTTTAGTAGTGTCTTCAAGGCAGACCATTAGGCCCAATTTTACCAACCCACATGGGGATTTGTTTTTGCAAGAATTATTTAGAGACTCATACATTACGCTCTTGGTCCCGAGTCCATAAATTAATCAAGTCGGTTTATCACCGATCCCAGAGTCACTTTCTCCGCAAATAACTTGTCACTAGATGTACGCCGTTTCACTTCAATTAGTTTAACTTCAGAAACATACGAATATGATCTCCACAGGTTGTAATAAGAAACCCAGCAAATGCTATTAGTGTTCCTCGAGTTAATATCAGTGGGTGGCACCAGGGTTCCAAATTGAGAATCTAGAACCTGAAGCCAGGTCACTAGCCACCGAGTCAAGATGCGAATCAATGGTGAGATCTTCATCTTCCATCCAGCACTTCACAGCTCGAGAGTTCACACTCGTTACTTCTGATGTATGAGTGCTGAAATAGGGAAGCCGAGCTCTACGGCAAAAAATCATCCCGTAAGTCAGAATCTACTGTATGAAAAGCCCTTTAGCCATGAAGTTCGAGAACGATACTATGTGCGCTGCACTGAACGTCATATTTCCGGACTGCGAATTGCACTGTAGATGTGAAGGGATGCTTCGGCTGGGGCAGTCATTTTCTGTCTGACGTTTCTGACTGTTGGGTCCCTGAGAATCTTTCAAGGCTGATATGCCCAATATTGTTTGGCAGCCAGAGTTTGCCATTCTGTGCGTAGAGCTATTTTCTTATTTCTCCCGACTGATTGCACGGATAGGCACTTGCATTAGCATAGGATGCGCGCAATTGCACATGCGTTAATTAGCCATCCTTACTCACTTGCTTCCGTGAACACCGAACCGATACGGGCCCTCCTGATGACTGGTGTATCCAAAGCACGTACACCAAGGCCTCTGGGTCCATTTTATAACGAAAAACAGTTGGATGGGGTTAACCCGACAAGCCACTTAATCATTTGCGTCCGAGAGGTAAGTTTTCGAGACAAACCGTCTGTAGTGTTTTGGCCAGGGATTTTCATGACACAAATCGAAAATGTGGCGTCCTCCAGACGACATAACAACCGGACCACGGATCTGCGCATACTGCAGCCGATACTGCGGGTTCGTTCAGATAACCAATTGGCTAACAGGCTTGGACGGCCGACTGAGGTATGAGGGAAGAGTACGGCCGACACTGAAGGATATATCCTAACAACAAATCTGAGCTTATCTCACTGTAATAAAACCGACGCGTCTTAATCTATCACGACGCGCTAAGAATCATGGTTTGTAGGACTGCCAACTGACGGGGCCAACTCAACCCACACGGTGAATATAGTGGAGTGGATAAGGGACTGCGAGTCAGGCCACAATAGCTCCTTCCTAATGTGGAATTTATGGAAGTCTCACGCAAATGAGACCCGGGCCGCCCATACAGTAGCCTGATGCATGTAGTGGGGTAGGGGTTGTGTGTGGCGCGCACGGATGGGCTGCTTAGGACTGTCTGCACTGTGCCCGCACCAACCCCCGGTCGTTCTGACATTGTCTTGTCACTGGAGCAGAGTGAGTGAGGGGGGGGGGGAGAGTACGGCAGATGCGTAAGTTTGCCTTGCTCTAAACCAATTTAGAAGCAAGTCACCAGCACTGCACCAACGCCGTGGGGCAAGGTATGGACGTAGTTGCTCGTGGCGGCCGAATTATTACCGAAAGTTCGTTCAGTCGAGCCTGCAGTAACAAGGCAAATTACATTAGGACAGACTCTGGTAAGGCGTAAATAACTCAACCATGTTGTATTTCAGTCTTCAAATATTGGTGGTAGACAAAACTGAGAGGAAGATGGGGCTGGTCATAAGTCCCTTCCAACCAAATTCGCCTACATCGCATTCTGCCACAGGGTTTTCTTGTTTACTTATGACGATAGTTAGACACTATTGTGCTAAATCTGTAGAAATAACACATTTTTAAATGAACGAAATGCGCCCATTTAAAAATGGTGACTAGCCTATCTCATGAAATGTTGGTCGAAATTCTGAAGTGTTTTCCATAAGACTCACTTGGTTTGGGCTGCAATACTGATTTCAGTCACAAGAGGACGCCGACTTTTGAATGAGCTACTTTCCGACGGCCTTTAAAAGCTACACTCATTAAGAATTAATTACTCCATACGTATGAGTTTTTCCATTGATCTTTGATACCCTTATAACTTCAAGCATATTATACAAGAAATATACACAAAAATATCCTTTCTCTCACTCATTTGGTAGGAAACTGTTTCTTTACATTTTACACTTTAAGAAGGAGTATCCTTCGTCTTAAAAATCAGTTTATAGTTATGAACTTTTCAAGACCGTGAGATGAACATTCCCACTCCATCGTATGCGTCCATTTAAAAATGCTGCTCATGAAGTATACGCCATGGCCCACAGCCATTGCATAATTTGAGAAGCCAAGAAACTTTAGGAGGGCATTAATCGCCATAAAACATAAATTTTATTGACATCAATAAATTGCGCGGCGGTTCTTCAGCTGCCATCTGTCGCTACATGATACCAATGGCGGGCGAAGTCCCCAAACATCAACTACTTCAGAAGATAAATATAACGGCATAGCTGGCGTCCACCTCAAAAAAATCACGATAAGCGAACCTCCCATGCTTATGGATGTCAGGTTTACAGGGCATGGTTCGCAGTCCGCGCCAGGTATTTGGTATTTAACGGGATGACGCGAGGTTTGTCTGTCCTCGGTAGAATTCCCGCCCTTAAATTTATGTCATCGTCCAGTGATCCAAGTTGTCTTGTATACAATGCTAGCGATAGACATGCGGAAATAAGCATGAGGGGGATAGAGAGAATATCCGAGGTGGCAAGGTGTATATGGCTGACGTTAAAATCGGCTTCCTCCGAACCCGAAAATTAGAAGGATGAATGAAATCATCCTCGACCTCAGAATCAGCGCTAAACAGATACAGTCCCCAATGGCTAGTAGTAGTAGTAGTAGTAGTAGCAGCAGTAGTAGTAGTAGGATTAGTAGTAGTAGTAGTAATAGTAGTAGTAGCAGTAGTAGTAACAGCAGTAGTAGTAGCAGCAGCAGCAGTAGTAGGAGTAGTAGTAGTAGTAGCAGTAGGAGTAGTAGTAGCAGCAGCAGTAGTAGTAGGAGTAGTAGTAGTAGCAGTAGTAGTAACAGCAGTAGTAGCAGCAGCAGTAGTAGTAGTAGTAGTAGTAGTAGTAGTAGTAGTAGTAGTAGTAGCAGTAGTAGGAGTAGAAGTAGCAGCAGCAGTAGGAGTAGTAGTAGTAGTAGTAGTAGTAGTAGTAGTAGTAGTAGTAGTAGTAGTAGTAGTAGTAGTAGTAGTAGTAGTAGCAATAGTAGTAGTAGTAGTAGTAGTAGTAGTAGTAGTAGTAGTAGTAGTAGCAGTGGTAGTAGTAGCAGCAGTAGTAGTAATAGTAGTAGCCGCAGTAATAGTAGTGTTGCTCCTGACACTGGTACGTGACAAGTCCCAACATTTGTTTATTCTAACACAAAAAGTTAGATTAAGATAGGAAAGTAAACATCACATGAGGAATGGATTCAACTCTTGTCGAGCCTGCCTATCAACAGCTGGTTGCACATGGGAACGGTAGGGAGTGGAAAGCTGTAATGAGGTTTATTTAAGTAGACTAATTTCCCCCTCCACACGGTAGTTCATATAGTGTTTGCAAGAAATGCAAGCCGTATTTCCCCAGAAAGACCGGTAAATGCCCTCCAAAACTGCCTAAACTAGTGGCGTCGTCAGTTGCTTTGGAAACATAACAATTCATGCAAAAAAGCCTATTTCGGAGACGAAAGTCAGGAATCAAAGCCACTACAAACACCCTAACACTTTCGAAAAAACCCAATATCGAACGCGAGAAGTGATGTCCCGTAGGTCGTGAGGTAAGATTCTATATCACAGGAAACGTAGGAATGAAGTGTTAAACTAGGCGACTGACTTTTGAAGCATTATTGCGAATAAGCATATCAAACAGACCTGAGTTCGTACAAAACATGGAATGTTGCAAATAGAAGGGGCCGGAAAACAGCATTCACAGTAATTGTAAAAAGAAGAATAAGCCAACACCGAGCTCCGCGGGCATTGAATTACACATCCTCCGAGGGGGTGTGCTTGGAGGACTGGGTACTAATGAGTAGGGCTGCATTTCTACCGCTGACGACAGCAATCTCCATGCAGGAGGCGGCGAGTTCTAGGGCACATGCGTAGATCAGGCCCGGGGCAGGAACAAACGTGCCCAAGTCCACGGCTGGATTTTTCTACAAGAACATTATAGCAAGAGTCTGACAGTCAAAGCTTTTTAAATACAGACTTAGGGACCGTGCACATCCGGCAAACCGGCAAATTTGGGCTGTGGCGTTGTGTTAGAGTTAAGCGGAAGCATGCAGGAGTGTAGGGCGCGTCACGTCAGTCACTGCAACTGATCTCATCTACAGTGGATGTCGCGCAGGTATAAAAGCGGCGCGTGACAGGAGGGAGAAAGCAGCGAGGTCTAATCTAAGACAGAAACAGCACTTGGTGTCCTCACTGATAGATTCTTGAGCCTGTAGTCTATAACAACCCACTAAGATTTGCGGTTCCGGAGTCTGCTTCCTGATAAGATAACTCTGTCCGTCTCCGGACAGTGGAGCAAACCGTCCCTTCATATGGCCCTTGTGGCAGTTTCTTCTAACCCGTGATCTACGACCCCTATATTTAAAGTTTTGTTAATTTACGTGCAGGAGCAAACGTGTGCGTGTCACGCATAAACGTGGTCTCACTCATGTCGAGCACTGTGCCCATGCCCATCTCCAGTCGTGAACCTGTCTCACTGTTTAAACGTGGCCGGTGTGGAAAAACAGCCCAAAGCAGATGCTTCGCAAGCCTTCCTCGTCATTAACCAATTAACACTACCCCCTCGAGACAGTGGCGGTTCTCGTCACTTCCGATGGATGCGCTACCGTGCAGTATAACGATGACAGATGACACTCGTATGGCAGGAACTAGGGCATTTGAGGTCTACTTCATGTAGTCGCTTTTTCAAGCACGTGCCGCGTTCCTGGGGAATGCAATGACTTAGCCTGCATTTCTTCTGATCAAAACTTGTCAGGACAAACGAGTTTGGAAGAAGGTGTGACGCTGTGACAAAAAGTCCCTTTGCCTGACGTTTCGAGTTCTCATTAGAATCCATCATCAGAGACAGTCGCAGATTGGGGTGATAATGACCCAAGAAGCGCAATATTTAAAGGACGCAGTCGTCATGTCATCGCATACCTACTACAACATACAGCTCCGTATTCATCGCTGGGGGTCGTACTTGGTGCGATGATGGCTTGTTAGTCCGCACCCGAGCCGTTATTTGTCGCGACTGCAGCACCGTTGTTGATACTTGGCGTGATGTTGACACGACCATTTGGCTTGCTGTCAATGGAACTGTTGGCCACCAGCATCGCGCACCGCCTGGCTAATTACTCTGCCCAAACAAGGCCTCAGCATGGAATATAAAGGCGGGAGGCTATTGCAACTGTAGGCTAGAGAACAATGATTTAGGTAGTTCGTGGCTCACGAGATTGTCACCTCTTGCAAGAATTTCGGCCTCGTCAAACTTGAAGATGCGGCCGGGCGCCCTCACCACCTTTATCTGCAACTGTCTCTGACGATGAATTCGAGTGAGAAGCCGGAACTTCAGGCAAATAAACTCCCCGTTTTCAGCGGTCGCATCTCCCTTTTCGAAACTGGCTGCTGGAGTTCGTCTCTCCAATTCTATCAATTAACAGTTTTCCCAGTCAGTATATGTCCCCAGATCGCCAGATGGTTTCCAAAGTAAATGCTGCTGCATTCAATTATAGCTAGCCGCAAATAATGTACACCTTCTCAGCTCCAATCAAACCTTGGGCAGGCGTTTACCTGTGCCGGCACTGTTGCAGGGGGCAGGCGGCACTCTCCGGTATGTTGGCTAGTGCAGCCCGCAAATGGCAGTCTATTATCTTCTCCGTCTATTTTTAGAATTTTAATCGCGCATTTTGCAGTTGACGATGATTTTGTTGGAATACCCGTTTTTCGACCACCAGACAGGTCGATCTGCTTTCCCAGATACTTCACAATACAGCACAGAAACTTTTTGGAGCCACGAAAACAAACTTATTGCATCTCGGGGAACCAATGGGACATGTCCAGATGAATATTTGTGAGTCCTCTGAAAACGTGGGACCAGCTTCGTGTGAATCATTTTCATCGAATAGTGCTCGTTGAGAGAAGCAAACAGACATTGTTTCCAAAGAGGTCACACCTAACTTATTCTGGAATGTCCTTGTTAAAAAACGTCCCCAAAAGTCTCGTTCGCTTTACCTAGGGTTCCCTTCTAGTGCTTTCACTACAGTATTCACTCCGCCAAATTTCAGTAGATGTTATACATTTCCGGAATACAGTAACACCACGCGCGCATCACACTTCGCTTACTTGTTTTTGAATACGATTAACTCCCACGGGCGCCAGCAAACAAACTAATGTGATCTAGGCCAATCAGCGTCAGCCAAAATGAAACGTGCACTAATCGACGACGGTTATTTCCCAATTTATTTATTCTCTTCGTCAGTCGTGAAAGCTTAAACAGAGTAAAGGTAATTTTAGGACTTTGTTGTAATCATGTAACGTAGCAACGTCAATTTCAAGACAAATAACTCGAAAACATACTGGGAAAATATCCTCGTGGGTATTTAAATATTGAGTGATGAAAAAAATCTATAGGCCCACATACTTAGAGGATGGAGATACATTTTCATCAGAAATGTTACTTTAAAAGGCTAATTTGGCGTTGTGCAAAGACATATATAGTGTCGTTTGACAAATTAATATTAACCAAGCGGCGGCGCACAAACGGGACAGAAGGGGCTGCTTTTAAAAAAGCTAGCTGAAATCTTTACGCCTAAAAACTAAGGTGAGTGAAATTGACATTCAAAAAAGCCGGAACTGAAGCAGTAGCTAAGCAGTAAATTGTAAGCAGTGTGTATTCGACTAACAACTGTTTGTTTCCAACATACCTAATTGTGCAAGTCTGAAGTGGGTCATGATGAGCGGCCTCTAATAGCTCAACGTCCGACTGACCGTCTTGGCTGATTACAACACTGACGCATACACGTCCAGACAGTCACAGTCACGTGCCGAGTTGCACACGCACTGCGACACAAAACCCCTGAACTTGCTCTCACAAGTTCGAGACAGCGGTCGCTACCACTGTCACCCTCGACGGCCCTCTCTCTACCTTTTTCAGGCATAAATTTACACTGTCAACACACACGCCCTCGCCTCGTCAGCGATCGCTGCTGTCCGAGACGTCACTTGTGCTTCTGTACACAGAAAGTCCTTCCTTTGGGTGTATGATTAGTCACCTCCATTTTATGCCTCTTGCTTGCGATAATCGGCAAGTCAACGCATTGACGGGGGACGAAAAGGTTACAAACACAGTGTCTATGGCGGTGCGTTCAAAGCATGTAAACTTCAAGGAAGGCTGGCTAAAGGTCCACTTTAATTCACCAAGGTTAGCTGAAATTGCTCACATGAGAGGACTTTAGAGCTTTAACAACGCATAAGCTTGCTGTCGACAGTTTCCGAAGAATAAACTATTTTTTCGAAATGCTAATTAGGACGCGGCAGCAAAACCAGATCGCCAATTACCAACTTTTGATCGTCAAGTAAACATCGTGTTTGCCGAGTACGTTTACTAAATGCCAGCAGCACTCTAACCTCCCAAGCTTTGTGTCACTATTTTCTCCTATAGTACCATTGTGCTCACCTGCCATCACTGAAAAAGGAACTATGATAAAAAATCCTTTGTTGCAGCGTAAAATTACTCGACGGAAAGAATGGTGGCAAAAACTGCAGTTCGACCGTTAATCCCGGCGATGTCCACCGTGTGCCCAACAGCAGGCCGGGGGCAGAAACAGAGATTAATGCGTCAGTTAGTCTAGTGGTATAGACTTGCGCTGCGCATACTACACTCCCTCCTTCTCCCCAACATGGGCCCAGCGTCATGAGAGGACCGACGGCGGGAGAGGGCGAATATGGCTGGCACGGCCTAAACCTGCACCTAGGCGTACCACCACATCCCCTGACCCACAACGTACACTAGCACAAATTTTGTGTAACAAGAAAAACAAGGGACGGCTTGGATTCCCCAACTGGCGCGGCGTTCGCCTGCACCTGAGCGGGCCACCACATCCCAACATTGATATTTGTTATGGATGCGCATTCCGAAAAACGTCTGTCGGGTCTAGATCAAGTCTCCACGTTGGTCCAGCGTACCTGTAGCGTGGCTCGTTTTAGGAGCACAATAATTACCAAATAGGCATCAGTCTTGCCGTGGTCATGGTGCGTTTTCTGGGGCTTCGGTCAAAAAAACAGGGATAAAACAAGACTAGCCGTGTGGTCGGTAGGCTGAGTGGTTTGAAAAAAATCCTTCAATAGGTTTTCTACGAAACCACGTGCTCAAAAAGACCT